GTTGTATTTCTCATCATTGTTACATTGCACCCTGACTGAAGTAGCCGTGTTCTTGAAAACCATTAACAAATCCCATCCTGTGGAACCGAGAGCAGCAGTCATGGTCATGGCTCACCACAGACCTGCAGGGCTGGGGGCTCTACTGGGGGGTGGGGGTGGGGTGGGGTGGCAAGGAAACAGGGCCTTGTTTTTCACGAATGCCTTCAGTGCAGCTTGGACTTCTTCCTTTAGTACCATCAATTAGGATCACATGCTCCCTCTTGAAATGGCTGAATGCCAACCAATTCTCTTCATACAGTAACTGTACACTCCTTCCACCTTCTTCTGAGTCAGTATATTGTATGAGGCAGGAGTAAAATTTATCCCCCCACCCAACCCCCACCGTTCCCCATTTAAAGACCGGTCAAACACTTCTCCACTGATTTGAAATGCGCTAATTTTGATAATCCATTTTATCATATATCAGATTTCTGAATGCATGTAGGTCTTATCATTCTGATTTTGGTCTTCAAAGTCCTAATTAAGTGATTCTTGTGCCATTTGGACACAGGCTGAGTTTAGGGAGCCTCTGATTCTAATGCAACCATTTGTTTGATTTTTGAAATCTCTTGAATCATAGCAATGTAGTCACCTATTGTTTAGTGCAGTAATAAGCCATTTGCTAGTTCTTCAGGAAGTAGCAAGTGAATGCATTCATTGAAATGAATGATTGCTTTTTAATCACAAGAATTTCTGGGTGGTTGATTTCAAAAGACTTCATTTCACGTTACCCAGCTTTGGCCACCAGCGCAGGCTGATTATACTGTAGAATTCAACTCCCTCCTCCTGTGCACTTCTCTTGCCAAAGGGAAAGCCGGATTTAAGCAAGCAAATGCTGATTCAGTCATCCCCAGAAGATTAGACAACTTGTAATTGGACTTGGACGAGGCTGCTTACCTAAGTGCTTACCTGAGGTAATGGCATTCAAAGGCATTAACTCATACCCTTTAAATGGGGGCGTTTTGTGGTAGGTGGATTATATCCCAATGACATTGTTAAGGAAGGAAGGAAGGAACGTCCCAAATAGGTCCCCTCTCTGCCCAAACCCCGATTTGTCACCTGCTCTTCGTAGGACAGTCTTCAGATTCGCTGTGTGGTTGGCCGCAGAAGCTACAGCCCATCCCTGCTTGGAACTTTCCTTGTCTGTCTCTGGCTCCTGGAGTCCTTGATTGTCTCCTTCGTGAGACAGTCAGATCCTCCCGGGCAGGAAGCCTGCCTATTTATCTTGGCTTAGCACATGGTGCAGCCCAGGCAGGCCCCCAGGTAGCCTCTTCACCTGAACTGATTTTCTTACTGATCTAAATCATCCAAGTGAGCAGAGCGGTGAGGAGCAGAGGCTGGATTTCATGTGGATCTCTCCTGCTGGTCTTCTGGTAACTTCCAAGTAAGCAAACTGCTCGCTTAAGAGGGAAGCAGGAGCAAGGAGGAGCTTGGATATCGCCCACAGCAACCCGGCTTTACTGATCACTGGCCTTCAATATTAACACCCCCAGGTGGCATCCAGGGACAGCGTCCTCTGCCAGGCCCAGGCTCTGCCCAACATCAGTTGCAGCACAGCTATGGCAGGGAACTCATAGGAGCAGCTGTAGAGAAGGGTCTTTTGTATCGTCTCCACCTGTTTTTACTCCCAAGACCGTGTGACTGTGCACCTCTTTGCTGTTTGAGGCTTACAGAAAATTTGTGCAGAAAATACAGATATCGCCCATACACTCCCTTCCCCAAACATGGTTTCTTGTTGTCACAGTCAATTGATTCCAAATTCCTGTTCGAACACTGAAAGTGTGAGATCTGAACATATTTTCTCACAAGAAATAATGGAAAACCACATCATTGGTTCTGGGGCCCCACAATTACACTTATAAATTAATTTTCACCACATGCATTAGCCCATTTAATCACATCCCCCACCACCACCACCACCACCAAATGCTGCTAATGTCAACTTAAGCCACGTCGTATTCAGCTGCCAAATCAGACAAGCAGTGACCTGATCTGAATTTTGCAATGCTTCCTTTCTTTAGCTCTGGTGGGGTTCCCACGATTTCCTTCTTAGCTGTACTGCTGGCATCATTAGCTTTAGCACCATGATTACCATAGTTTATGTAAACAACGTGCGCATGCGCGCACACACAAGCACGATGGCGATCGTTTTAGCGCACTGACACAGCACTGTCGGTTGCCTGAGAGTGCGGCACTAAAACTGAAGCGCCACCCCTTTGGGTCCTAGCAGAGATGTGGTGCGTGGCTCACTCTCGGCTGGACAGGCACTGTGCAGCTGGGTTTTCAGTTGACTACTGAACAAAGTTACAAACACTGAGCAGATTTACTTTGGAACTTTCTGTTCCAAGTAGTGTCAAGTTCGAAGTTGGAGCCACTCAACAACGGAGGTTTC